ATAATCATATTCCTAAGGCAGAGATCAAGCATAGGCAATTTTACTGTAAATTATACTGTGACAGAACTACAAGCAATAGGAATTGGGGACTTATATGGGGTTATTAAATAACCTCTAAGGATAGATAGTGCTAACATCTCTACTTGTACTATAATTTTTTAACTCCCTGTAATATATTTCCCCTCTTTTTTGTATTCTCTTTACTGCTAGGTGCTGTCCAGGCATAGATCATCAGAGGAAGTGCCTCATGAAAAGAGGAAAGAAACATGTTTTCCTGGTCAATTTCTTTTCTCAAAAAGATAGTAGAAAGTCCTCCAAACCAGACCTTCTTTGTCTGATTTAACAGCAAGGCTATGATAGTAGAGATGTATTTTCCTCCCATAAGTTTAAGATAACCTAGACTATAATATTCCAATATGTTCTGCAAAAAATATGCATGTAGTAGTCTGGGGTAATACCCCTTATGTTTGTAGGACCAGATCCTCATCTGCTCTTACTCTTGATCCATTGCATCCATAGCCACCATTCATCCTCCCTGCCACCAAAATAAAATAGGGTGCCATTTTGCCAGGTCCATAGGCAGCCAGACTTTTCCTTCCTCCCTTTGCAGGCACCCAGCTAGTAGGATCAAGCAGACAAGAAGAAAGAACAGAAGAAATTTGGGGATCAGTAGAAAACTGTGTGTGCAGGATATCATAACAAAGAATTTGGTTCTCCAGTTTGCTCCCCCTTTCAGCATCCACTCGCTGCCACTGTGACAGGATACTGGGCAATGTGGACCTATAATCTGACCCAGTAAATGTCAGTTTTTGTTTTCCATGTAGAAGGTCTCTGTTTTTCAGAATGGGTAAGATGTATTTTCAATGCAAATTAATTTTCACCTCAGGCAGGACTGTGGCAAAGTGGATATCGCCGCTAGCCGCAGCTACCCCCCACCTGCCTCTGGGCATGCTGCTTGCCTGTCTCGCCCGCCACGCCTTGTTGGAATAATAATATGCTGTTAAATAAGGCGAGAGGCTGCCCGTTACTGCACCCCGGGGTGTCTGCAGCTCCGTACCTCCCCTACACTGCGGCCCAAGCCTCGCAGATGGCATCCATATGTTAGCGTCCCCAGCCTACAGCCGGAGCATGCTTAGGCCACACCGTCAGGCCTCAGTCATACGCTCAGTCATACCGCCTGCCTCTCACTCACTCCACCCTCTCTCACAGGGTCTCTTTCTCGCGTCAACAACTTATGCCACCTTGCTGCCTCTTGGAGCGGGCACCCTTTGGCCATAGGCTTAGCTAGCCCATTTCTTGCGTGGCAGACGTACCGTCTGTTGGGCCTCTCCTGCAACCCTCACCTGGGTAGTGGCCAGCCAATTACCTGACCAGGTCTAAGCACACGCGGGCCCCTTTTGGGGTAACACTCAGGGTCTGTATATGTACTGGGCCCTCAGCCCTCTACTCGGGGCTCCACACCACCCCCGCTACTTGGGGTCTCGGGGCTTCCCTCCTTGGGTGGGCTCAGGTGACTGCGGCCGTGCCTGGCCCCCTCTACCTCCATTGTCACCTGACCCACCCGTGGTGGGGGCTGGGGTTAAGGCACTCTGACCTGCCTTTTACCGGGGTGGTAACTGGCCTGGCATTTCCTGGGGGCTCCCGCGCCACTGAGAGCCCCACCAGGGCACCCGCTCCTGGCAGGGTGCAGTTTTAGGTCATTCCCAGGACCAGGAGCCTCCTGACCATCCCCTACTGCTCCTGCCTTACCTCCAGATGACACCAGCAGCCCTCCAGCCAGGCGATATTCTTGCCTGACCTCCCAGCAGCAAAATGCCCTGTTTACATGGGCAGCCCTGAATCCAAAATGGCTGCCCTCATCAGGCACTTGCTGGCTGCTGCCTTCAGGCCCTTGAAGTGGCAGGCACAAACGGTGCCCTGCCACAAGGACCATGCATTATTTAGTTCTGAGATTTGCTCTCCCATATCACTGCACAGAGAATAGTGCCTGAAGGGTCTATAGCTTCCTTCAACCCCATTTGGAAACCAGCATAAAAATCTTCAAAGGCTTAAGGTCCATGGGACTTATGATCAAAACTAGCAAAACTTTTCACTGATGCCAGCTATATCCATTTTGTTCCGCTGGATCAGAACGCAACTGGATTTTGACACAACTCCCTCAGTGCTGCCTGAATAGAAATGCTGCTGCTGCCGCAAGGCAGTTGCTGTTAAAGTTTGAGCGGAGCAGAAATCAAAGGGGGTGCAACTGCCCCCCTTTCCCTTCCCCCCCAAGATCTGTCCCTGATGGACTACCTCCAAAAAGATCTCAATTTACGACAATTTACTGAGATTGTCTTCTGTCATTTTCTTTACTTATAGTCTTTAGAACTTGAAGGCAGCTCTTCTGAAATACCTGGAGATGGCTCCTCATGCATATAAGATAGTGTCACTTCATCCTCTTCTATACACAAAGTTGTGATAACAACTTCATCCTGCCCAAAATGTTTTTAGCAGAATTTAATATTTCTTCACTAGGTTCACTATTGGCTTTCCTGTGGAGCTTTGTAGTGAAAGAATCAATAGCAAAATATGGCACCTCATACTATCTTTTGAATTTCCTGAGATACTTTCAAGCTAGTGTTTGCCAGTCTGTATGTCAGTACAGCACTTTGAAAAGTAGCTTTCTCAGCAAGTTCCAGTTTGAACTGAAAAATGCTTTGATGGTTTCCCCAAAGTCAAATATTGCAAATTCAGATGGCCAGTCATTGCATGCTCACTTCTTTTGATCTTAGTAGTATGGCTATCAGGCAGTCTGGCTTTGGAACTGATGCCCATAACCAGCTGTCAGATTTGGGGGCTCCAAATACCATTTGAAAACTTACCTGTACCATTAAGCCTGTAGAAACCTTTGAAAACGGTTAAACAGTTTGACAACTGGTATGCTCTAACTGCTATCTATCATACATATATAGCCATCAATGGTTCAATTTCTAGTTTGGAGAAGGTATCAATTCCAACTCCCCAGAGCCTGTCCTGGGTCCAGTATTGCTTAGTGTCTTCATTAATGATTTAGACAATGGGGTCAAGGGAACACTTAGCAAATCTGCAGATGACACCAAGTTGGGTGGAGTTGCAGATAATTTGGAGAACAGAACTAGGATCCAGAAGGAACTGGATAGACTGGAGAAATGGTCTGCAATCAATCAGATGAGATTCAGCAAGGACAAGTATAAAGTCCTGCACTTAGGATGGATTCATTGCATGCACAATTACACACTGGGGAATGAGTGGCTAGGCAGAAGTACTGCAGAGAAGGACCTGGGGGTTACAGTAGACCAGTGGTTCTCAACCTTTTGAGACCCAAGGCGCCCTGCATTAGACTTGAGACACCCCTTGGAAACTGCCAGCTCTTACTTTTCACTCATTTTTTACTAAAGAAAAATAATAGAGCAATTTTCTGTTGTAAAGAGCTCAGAAAGATCACAACAGATCAGAATATTTTTAACACTATGGATACCTATTTGAACCCTCTGGGTTTATCTTGTGAATCATGTTTGCACACGTAACAGTGCTAACATTGTGGGGGCAGTCCATGGCATGCTTGAAAGGATCTCAAGGCACCCCAGGGTACTACAGCTCCCTGGTTGAGAATCACTGAAGTAGACCATAAGCTGAATGTGAGCCAGTAGAGTGCTCTTGTTGCATACTTTGGGGCTAGTAGCAGCAGATACTTAGGTGGCCTAGGATTTGGACCTAGACATATGCTTCCAGTTGAAGTGGAGAAGGCAGTATATTTTGAGTACTTGCTTATACCCCAAAATACAGGTTTTAGTCTGTTCTGACCTCAGTTTTATCAGTCTAAGCTTTCTTGCCAAGCTTGGCTTTGACTCAGATACTGCAGCAAATGAAAACTAACCTCAGTGATTTCATTACAGCTGTGACTTATTAGTTATGACATAACACAGGCTTGGACCAGCCACAAAGCCTGAGGGTGAAGGGGGGCATATGCTGACAGCGCAGCATGAAGGGGTGGGGGAGTTGCATGCTGGCAGTGCAACCCACACAGGGAATGGAGGGCTGTGTGTTGGTAGCACCATCCACATGGTGGGGAGGCAGGAGGGTCATGCGCTGGCAGCACCACCCATTCAGCCTGTACGGTAGGGGATGGAGGTCTGTATACCTGTGGCCCAGCCCATATGGTGGGGAAGAATCTGGGATGGGAGGAGACACCCCTGCAGTGTGTATACTGTATGGTATGTGGCCCCTGGCTGCACCAAAGTTGGACAGCCCTGATTCAGCAGATACTTGCATAACAAGATGCAAAGGCTGAAAGTTTACACCAGTGAAGTTTCAACTGGGAATAAGGGCCTGAATCCTGTTTTGCCTCTAGGGCACCTATAACTTACCTGGCTGTTTGTCACAAACTTAGGCACCACTTTAAGGAGATGGTGATCCTGTTCCATATGTAAGGCCATCTCTCAGTCTTCTCATTGTCTCTGTGAGTAGTCTAGGATTTCTTAGCATGATAGCTGTTTTGGACCAACTATGTAGTTGAGATAAATTTAGACAAGCTTAGACATTCTTTCTCAGAAGCCAATCCAATTCCACCCTATGGAGACCCATGTCTCCCTCCCCATTCTATGTATGGACAGAGTTATGGACACTAACACTCTTCCATTAAGTCATGATTCACGCTGCTCCAACTTATTAAAAAAAAAGACACTCTGTTGGGATTCAGTGTCATTGGGGAAGGCACCTGTCTGACGAGAGCAGGATGACCCAGCTATTTTTTCCTGAATGGGCTAGTGGTTAGGGCAGACTATAAATCAAAAACAGCAGTTTTGGAAATAAGTTATTTTGAAATTGGATCTTTGGTTCCTAAATAATATAAATATTTTTGAAACTGTTTCCCATTGACTAGCTCCCTGCATTCTACTGTCACATTCATATAATCACCTTCGTTATGTTAACTTTAATGGACTTCATCAAATTAACTTCACTATTTATTTTTTTCTGCACAGCAATGTCTGACCGGCAGGAGAGTGCCCTCATTGAGCTCATGGTGTGTACAATTCGACAAGCTGCTGAAGCACATCCTCCAGTGGGCAGGGGTACTGGCAAGAGAGTGAGTATGATTGAAATAGTTCAGATTGTGGCATTGCTATGAAATCTAATGTGTGCGTGTATATCATCTAGGTGCATCATAGCACCACTGTTAACATGGCAGAACCTCTTTGTTGGATTTTTGTAACTACCTAGTTCTCTTTCAATTTGAATAATTTTGGAGGAAAGTAATAGAAATTATAAATCTGAACATGTTTGAATTTTTTTAATTTGGTTTGTTTTCCTGATTTAAATAGTGTAAAAAGGCTGCCTCAGAAAATCACTTTATTCTGATTTTTGGACATGGGGCCAGCTCCTCCTACTCCTATTAGGCATCTAGTGTGATCCTATTTTACTCTGCTTACGTTTCTGAAAAATTGTTAATGTAAAAGGCATGGAGTGCCTCTTCACTGCCTTTTTGCTACTTAGTCTTACAGCTAAAATGATACTGCTTAACAAGCTTAGATACGGTAATGATTTTCTAGGGACTCTGGTGGAATAGGCACTTGGGTGCCTAAGTGACGGAGTAAGTAGCTTCTAGTCTACAAAAGCTTATGCCTCTCAGAACCAGTTAGGATCTAAGGTGCCCTGCCTTCTGTCTTAATAATAGGTGGAACAGGATCTGGCCCTGTGGTGTCTCATAGTCTCAGATTTTTGGTGAGAAGTGGCAGAAGATGAAAGTATTAAAATATTCCTAGAAGAAAGTGTAATTCCCTGATTTTAAAAGTATGCAGACAGATACAATCATTAACAGTGATATAATTGTGTTACTTAGGCCCCTGGCAGTTGTTCAGTTAAAGGCATGGTGGCTTCCAATCCATAGTCCCAAGAGTCGCCACCTCCTGCCATGCTACACATGTATGGCAGCAGGCATGACTGTGGGATTGGAGATGAGATCCAAATCACACCCTATTTCCAGTGCAAACAGTGCTCAGGATCATAACCCTGGGCTCCCTCTGCACCAGCAATTAGCAGGCTGAGTGCCCAGTGCACCCAGCTTGGAGTGGCAGTCAGTCAGCTGATCAGTGTTCCCAAAGTCTGGAGTTTGTACAGCCCTTCATTCCTGTGTGGCTCTGATTCTGGGAGCCCCAGTCAATGGATGGGCGCTCCCAGCCTCCGGAGAACTTTGGAGTTCTTCAAGGCTGGCAGTGCAGATCAGCTGGCATGATGGGAAAGGGCCACAAAATTGTTACATATATTTTGTGTAGTAACTTCTTGGCTTATTCCTTGTTTGATCACACTGTTAATTACACTCAAGTGTATCATCTGCCAAGGGCTTTAGTTATATCAAGTCAGTTAGCAGTAGTACAGCAAATGCAACAGAAATAGATCATTACTGTCTGCTGTGCCAGTGCTGATTAGACTGATATTCCTTGGCTTAATATAACAGGAATCTATATCACTATTAACAGTTTTTAAAAATAGATCTTGCAGCTTCATCTGATACTGAAATTAAATCAAAGCAAAGTAAGGGTTTCCTAAGTAGCAGATTTTAGTCCATTGTAATGGAGTGAGAAAGGAATTTCTCCTGTTTCACATAGGTTTACCATTTAAAATTGCACTTTTTGAAATACACTGTTTTTGCCTACCTTAGAAATCAGAACAGCTTGCTGTCTTAGAGAGCACATAGATGAAGCAAAGTGACTTTTCTTATCCATAGACATCTAAATCATGCCCGGTAAACCTTAACTCTGCCCACAGCTGCTCTTTTTCTGAGCAACAAACCTCTCACTGAGCCCCACAGCCTTTATCATGTCCTTTTGTCTTGTTGGCCCTACATACTCCCTGTCTTGACTGCCTAGGGGCCAGATTCAAAAGGAGAGCTTGGTGGTTAGAGCACGATGCTGGACGTTTCAGAGATGTAGGATCATGGCTACTCTGGGTGAGAGAGAGAGCCTGGAGCCTGGGTTTCCTGGTTGAGAGTCCTAACCACTTAGCTATTCGACTACAACTTGGGAGAGTTGTCTTCCTCCTCTGCTGCCTGTCACCTTCTAGCTATGGGTATTTGCAGAGTAAAATTTTAGGATTTCTGCTTACCCAGTGTGCCCAGCCAGCTCACTGCACAAGGAGCAGAACCAAAAAATGTGTGTCAGTGCCAAAAGGGGCAGTGGGTACAACTTGGACAGAACCTGTCAGTGAATCTCACTTTAAAAGTTGATTTAAGAAACTCAGACTGATATTTCACATCACAGCTCCTTGGCAGTCGCACATGGTGACATTCCCTGTGGGTTCCCTTACCCCCCCCAGCATTCAGGTATGAAATTGTTAATAATAAAAAAGAAATAACAAAGAAATGCTGAAACAAAAGAGAAGTTCAGTAAGCTAAAGGTAAGGATGTGAGAATGTAGCAGTAATTTAAGGGTGAGATACATTACATCTGTTTTGCAGTTATCTCAAAAACAAGCATTTCAAAAACATATATTTTAGAGTAAAGATCAAACTTAAATCCAAAATAGGTTGCCATGCTATCACCATGTGATTATGAGTAAGGTCTCAAATAACTGATTTGTAAAGACAGATGAGATATTTTCATAGATATGTATATATTATTCTTCTAGAGCCATTTAAAAGCTGGGATAAGGTTGTTTATATGCCGTAACTGATCATTTCAGTGTTTTGACATATTTGTATGGAGAGCTCTGCTCATCTGTCATCTGAGTGCAGCTATGCCACAGCTTACCTGTGCCATTGGAGTACCATGGCTTTCATTCAATCTACAAGTCCTTTTTCCAGGATAAAGAGTTTTCTTCTTAGAGCAGAAGCTCACTAGCCTTTACCCTCCCTGATGTAACCAGTTCTCCACCCTCTGCCCTCTCCCCTTTCAGTTCAGCAGCTTTGCTGTGACGCAGTAGTCTCCGGATGCTGCCAGCCCAGGTGGGATGCCAGGTGCTCCAGTATACCATACCTGTACATCTATTTTTGTCAAAGAAGCTGTTAAATCAGTGCCTGTCATCTCAAGTTCACCAGGGGAGAGAGCCCATTGCTGCCCTCAGGACACCCCTGAGTGCCACTAATTAATGGTCTGAGCAGGATACACAGATATCAGTGCATCCTTCAGATTCCTGCCTGGCCAGTAATCTGGGTGCATTTCTTTCTCTTCCTAGGGACCCTGAGAGGAATGTTCAGGGCTAAGTACAGAAATTTATACTGGGCAAAAACAGGGGGCATTTGCAGCTGGGTAGTTATTTCTTCTAATTATTCCAGCTTGCTAACAGTAGCAAATCTGACCATTGCCACAACAGGAACGTTGGTTATCCTATTGGAGAAGAGCCACATTTTCCTAGACATTGGCTTTTCTGGGTGCAAGCATGGCTGAGAACCAGAATCTACGAACACCTAGATTCCATACTGTTCACTTGGACCAGACTATTCTAGGGCACAGGACGAGCACCAGCATGTGAGTGCCTATGACTGATCCATGCATGGGAATGCTCTTCTAATAAGCTGGGCTGTTTGCAGGAGAAACCAGTAACAGTTTTCTGTTGGTTTCCGTTCTTGCCCTAGCCCAAAATTAATCCTTTTTTGTGTAGTGTCTGTTGAACCCCTGCCTGATTTCCTGCACCCAGGTCATGCACCATATTGGCTGCAGTTAGAAGGGACTTGTCTGATCTAGACTCCAGTTTCCATGACCTAAGGACTGCAGAACTTGGCTTGTCTGTGGACATGACAGGAATGGTTGAGCAGAGTTCCCAGTTTGGCTTTTCTTGTACCCCACTTATAGGTACTTCAGCTCCGTGGTTGAGATACTTCTACTGCTATTTACCTTTCAGTCATTTGGATAATATTGACAAGAGGTTCTTCCCAGGACCTGAATACTGCACCTTTCCTCAAGTGGAATAGGCTGGGCGAACTGGTCATGGACAATTTGTTCTGTAATTTTTGCTCTTAATCAAGTTTTTTGCCCAAACTCAATCTTGTGGTTGCCATGAAGTGGCACAAGGTCTGCTGCCTGGATGACATACTTCCTCTTACAAGTGTTGCCATTAGGTGATCTAATTTATATCAAGGTGATCAAGAATGGCAGCCATCTCCTGTGCATAGTCCTGTATATTTACATCACCCAGAATAAAAGACAACCAGTTTAATCCAGGGATGATTAGTCTTAGATTTGACTCAAATCAAAACAAGTACAGGATGGTCATTTACCCACAAGGTTTAAATGGCTATTAACTTCAAAGCGTTAACCAGGGTATTTCACAGGTACTGTACTTAATTTGGGACAATGGGCTTGTCCTTCTGTAAGGTTTGGGGTTTGCTGCAAGACAGAAGGCTCAAATCTGAATCAAGCTGGTCATCTGTTTTTAGCCCCAGGTTCCAGAATGCCCCTGTGGCCTCTCCCATTAGTTTTGGGCATAGCCATATGGCCAGCTGATTCCAAAATACAATGGCAGCCACCCTTGAAAAGGTGACTAGAGGGGCTTCAAAATTATCCTGCTTGATCCAGCTGCATGAGTAGCACAGGATGAAGATCCAAGGTGATGGTTGCAGTAAATTGTCATCTGATTAATTTGTTCCCTTGGTGCTACCTTGCCAGTTGGTGCAGAAATTGCAATTGCTACCATGGTAATAAGCATCTCTTGGTTTTTCTTTACCCCCAAGGATGTTCTGGATCCCATCCTGACACTACATATGAAGGTGTATTCACTTCATCCATCATCCAAGCATAAATGTGTTCCAGATTCTCCCTGCTTATTCAAGAACCTTTTTTGTTTAAATCTGTTTTACAGTACCCTCTTAGACATTGTTTAGCCTCTGCTTCCTTTCATTTGGCTTCGGGAGTCTGGGCAGCTAGTTGCATACATCTCTGACAGTTGCTGGGTGAGGTGGGTCTTGTCCTGTTATTCTCATAAGCCTTCCATGCTTACAATTTGTGAGCTGAAATAGAAACATGTTTCCAATAGCATACTCACCCTCTTGTGAAGCAGTTTCTTCAGCCTCTTTTTAAGTCATAAATTCCAGCGTATAGCCTAGAAGTTTTGCCCTAAAGAAACATAGTCCTTGTCAAACTGGATTACCTTTGGTTATCCTTCTCTATTATGCTTTTCTTTATCTTTGAAAGCATTCTTCCTGGTCTCTGTCCTTTCTGCCAGGCCTGGAAGCGTATTGCAGGCTTCCATGGATCATGGCTACAAGGACTTTATTCATTGAATACAAAGACATTATTCAGCAACCAGCTGATTCATGGTCTCTGCAGTGGCAGCCCTACAGCCTACCAACATATCATTTCCATGGTCAAAACCTGCAGGGGAGTTACCTGGACTGAATGCTTACAGTCTGTCAGAGTTGCATTCCTTTTTTGAACCAAGGACATGATTCAGTTTCTGGAAGTTCATATTAAGCACCTTTTTCTTTTAATTAAACTCTTAAACCAGCTTGTTACTGGTTAATCTTGGAGGGGCAAAACTTCATCCAGCTGAAAGCACTAACAAAACTTCCATAGACTTAATTTATACCAGGATTCAGCCCCAAAACATGCAGAGACAATATCATAATGGAAGAAATTTATTTTTCCTGTTTGGTAACTGATATTCATAGGATATATTGTCCCCACATTCACATGTATTTCATCTGTGGTGCTTTTCTTTTTCTCTTCCTTCCTTTCTTTAAAAATGCCTACAATAGTTTTCATTTTGAATTGACAACCACATAAGAACATTTGACCATTGGGTTTACCTATGGATTAAGGACATTAAGATATTTCAGTATTTTGTAACATTCTTCTCTTTTTTTACAGGTGTTAACTGCAAAAGAAAGGAAAACTCAGATAGATGACAGAAATAAGTTGACTGAACATTTCATTATTGCACTTCCTATGTTACTCTCAAAGGTATGGTTAGCATTAGCATTTCTACAGATATTTATGACATTTTCTTGCATACCACGCACCTAGAATAAGACATGCATCTTGATTTTTGGAAGGTGGGATGAGGGAAAAAAAGATCTTTCCTTGAAAATAATGATAAGCATTTTTGCAGTGAAAAGGAGGCAGCCACAGTAAGGGGGAACTACAAATCTGTAACTGTTGTGTTAACCCCCCCCCTAGCTGCAGGACCCTGACTTCGAATTAGCCTGGAATGGGGCCAGGAAGCTCAATATCAGCCAGATTGGGCCTTTTGCTGACTCAGCAGGTACCACTGGCTTCATGTAAACTGCCAGGCCCCTCTTTGATTCAGGTAGACAGCTAGCAGCACCTGCCAAGACAGCTGAGGGCCCAGTTCTGTTGGAGCTGAAATGCCCAGCCCCTCTGCTCAAGGCAGCTGGGTCCTCAGTTGATCAGCAGGCACCTTTGGTTTCTCACTTGGCTTAAAGAGGGGCTGGGCTTTTCAGTTCCTGCATGATCAGATGCTCTGCTCCCCTCATTTCCTTGCTCACCCCACTCACCCCAATTTCCAGTAGCTATTTTGGGGGTGGAGGGGTGTGTCATCTGTGAGTAAATACAGTATATATCTGTGTATATATCAAGTGTGCATGTGTTTGTATGTGTATATATGTGTGGATGTGTGTGTGTGCTGGGGCAGATCCAAGGGGGTGCAGTAGCATGGATGTGTACTCCCTTTTCAGTCGAACACAGTATGAGAGTAGCAGCCAGGGACTTTTTTTTTTCAATCTCCAAAGCAAGTAAGAATTCCTCCCTCCCTGCTCCTCCATGCTCATCTTCCATCTCCCACCTTTTTTGCCCACCACTGCTGCTGTCTCTGGCTGTCCCAGGGACGGGTAGAGGTCCAGAGCCACTCCTGCCCACCCCAGCTGGACTCCCCATGGAGTTGGACTCAGCCTGGGTCAGCAGCAGCAGTGGGCAGACCACTCCTCCCTTCCCAGTCTCCTTGGTGTTCCCTGCCAGTCCAGGAGCAGGGGCAAGGGAAGGGAAACTACCCACTCTTGCTACTGTTCCTAGCTCAGCCTGGTTCCACGTTCATCCTGGCTTCAGCAGGGTAGGAGCAGCTCTGAAGTTCCTAACCTGTGCCCCAAGACCAGCTGGGGACAGCAGCAGTGGTGGGCAAGGGTTGGCAGAGAAGGGAAAGTAGGAAGAAGAGATTTTTACCTGCTTGAGAGACTTGGAAAAAAAAAGTCCCCTGCTGTTTCTTCTGTGGCGCAGTCTGCCTGTCCTGGATTTGGGGGCTGGAAGAGCAGAGGGTGTAACCATCTCTGCCATGCAGGTCACTGCTCCCACACTCCCCTTTACAAGACTGTGGATCTGCCCATGTGTGGGTATGTGTATACATCCAGCCAGATAAATAACTTCTTAGTTCTGTAACACAGTGATTTTTCTTCCTCTTTTTCTTTTGTTATGTTTTCTTTTGTTTCAATAATCTGTAGTATTCCGCCGATGCAGAGAAAGTAGCAAACCTTCTGCAAATCCCCCAGTATTTTGACCTGGAAATCTACAGTACAGGCAGAATGGAAAAGGTATGGTACACTGGCCTGCAGCAGCTCTGGTTGCTGTCAGGTGGCTAACGAGTAGTGATACACCACTGCTGTAGTATTGTGGCTCCATCTGAAATAGTATTTAGTAGTCTTATCCTGTTTTAGTTGATGCTTAACAAATGGTTTGAGTTTCATTGTTTAGGTATTGTGAAAACTGACTTTGCTTTCTGATCTACAGCATCTGGATGCCTTGTTGAAACAGATTAAGTTTGTTGTGGAGAAACATATAGAATCAGATGTTCTAGAAGCTTGCAGCAAAACCTATAGCATCCTGTGCAGTGAAGAATACACCATTCAGAACAGAGTTGACATAGCCCACAGCCAGCTGATTGATGAATTTGTGGATCGATTCAACCATTCTGTAGAGGATCTGTTACAGGAGGTTTGTTCTCTTATAGTGAGCATAATCTGATGATCTGAAGTGGACTAAGGTAAATAGTACAAAGGCACCCTCAGTGTGGAGCAGGGGTTGGCAACCTTTTCAAGCTGCTGGCCGGAACAACCTGGCTCCAATCTGGTGTGAGCCGCGTGCTTTTATGATACATCAGCAATGAGGAGGGCATCTGTGCCGAGGCCAGGCAGCTAAGAGCTGTGCCGGTGCCATTTTTTCCAGACCTTCACTTCCCAACTGGGGCACAAGCACAGTTTCCAGCCAGGCAGCTGGGAGCTGTGCCCAGGCTGCTGCTGCCACTTCTTCTTGCATAGAGCAAGAGTGTCCACATAGTAAGCTAGTATAGGCTAGCTATGTGGTAGCAGCTATTCCACAATTACTATTCCAGAGTATTTCCCCATGTAGGCAAGCCCATAGAGAAAACAAACAACACAAAGGCAGCCTTGTCCCAGAGAATTTCAATCTAATATTTAATCAGTACTTAATAGGTAGCTAAACAGATAAATAGGGGATTAAAAAAGTAAGCATTTGTGACCACAGTATTACCTGTAGTCCCATACAGGGAGCAGAAGCAAATTGTCTGGACTAGAGGAGAGGGCTTGCTAAAAAATTGTAAGCAGTATTTTTAAATAGTCTGGAAAGGAAGGAAAGAAGGAACAAAAATGCGAAGGGATAGGAGATATTTATTGTGTTAATCCACTAGAGGCATCTGGGATTTTTTGTGGTAGGGTGGAGATTGTCAGTGAAAGGGAAATGTGATATGTGGGGATTCAAACATGCTGAAAAAGGAGGGAATCTTTATGGGTCATTCCTTTGCCTTTTGGAACTTAATGTGGTGGAGTGTTACCCTTGTAAACCTTAACTAGTCTTTTAAAAAGTTCTATAATTTGGGGGACTCTCCTTGCATTTTAGGCACCAAATAGGTATTACATGGAAATTAATATCCTTTTCTGTGCTTAATAATATTATATATTTATATGCTATTATATGCATTTATAGTAATAATTTTGAATAAACCATACACCTATGTAGGTCAGATCATTGTTTAGGTTGCGGCCTGCCAGGCCATTCTATCCGGCCTGCGGGGCCCCTAAAAAATTTAGAAGATTAATATTTATCTGCCCTGGGCTGCCTGTCATGTGGCCCTCGATGGCTTGCCAAAACTCAGTAAGCGGCCCTCTGCCCAAAATAATTGCCCACCCCTGTTTTACAGCTTTGTACTAAAGAGTAAAGCTGGTTTTATATTGTGTTCCTGGCAGTGGTGAAAAACATTAATAAAATAGTAGTCTTTGAAAGATTAAATATAGAGCTGACCCTTAAAACATGTACGCAGAATATGAAAAGCATAGCAGGCCCCTTTCATCATGTATCATCATGATGTAGTTCTCAAAATATTGAAAGGAATTTAGGATCTTCTTCCTTTTTATTTTAATTCATTTGGCTTTAAAATAAAACTTTATAATCATTGTTAACAAAATTTAAATGTAAAATAGTTAAAACCTGTAACAAATCATCATTTGAAAATATTTCTTTGATATGATTAATAGAATCATAGAAAATGAGGGTTGGAAGGGACCTCAGGAGGTTGCATATAGTCCAACCGTCTTCTCAAAGCAGGACCATCCCCAACTAGATCATCCCATCCAAAGCTTTGTCTAGCCAGGTCTTAAAACCTCCAAGGATGTTTGATTACTTTATGGCATGTGCACTCCAACCGCCCCAGAAAGATGTTCTCTGGGATTTCGTACACAGGTTTGGGCCCCTAAAGCCTGAAGAACACCTACCCAGCTTTCCCTGCTTACTGAGATGCACCTCCAGAACATATCTTCATAAATGGGGAAAGCTTTTGTGTGCGTGGGGTGGAGGGGGAGAAGGAATCTTCCAAGTCCTTTCAGACCATAAGAGAAGCCCTGATGTATAGGATTGCCAGATACCTTCCAAACAGAGTAGCCTCTCAATTCAGCCTTTGCCCCACATATTGCAGGCACCAAACCCTTCATCCAAAAACTCCATATTTGGTCATATTGTCCTTTCCAGAAACTTGTCAAGTTCCATCTCAATTGATCTAATTCAAAAACTTTCACAGTGTGGGAAAACCGTTTTCCATCTAGCTTTAGTTTTGCCATTTAATGCACTAAAACACACTTTTACAGTTTGTGGGTGATGGCAAACTACAAAACCAGAATAGAATTGGAATTCTGCCATTGTTTTTTGTGCAAAACATGTATGAGCATCTTTAGAATTTCAGCTTTAGATGGAAGATATCATTTGGATCTACTTTTAAACCTGGAATCAGACTAATTAAAATACAATTTAGGGTATAGAGAGATATAACAATTGTTTTGATATCAAATTATAACAATAAGCTGTTACAATATAATGGGTTATGTCTGTGATTCTGTAGGGATACAGGTGTAGCAAAATCATTTCATTTTCAACCCTGTTTCATTCCGGGTCAAAGTTACAGCACTTCCGCTACCGTGAATCACTGCAGGATCATGAAGATATAACAGTTAAATTGTCACAGGTGATGCATGCTCCTGAGCAGAAGTTTCCCCTCCCCTTTTAAAATGGTTAAGAAGTACATTTGTCCTTACGCATAGTCTCTGAAAAGAATGAGTTTAAAACTTGTGACTTAGGTTTTTTCTCAGGCAGTGACTTCTCCTGTCACAAGCTAGTGGTGCAAATTTTAATACCGTGATATTTCTTAAAATTGTCAGACAGTCCTGCTGATTTCTTAGTTCTACCCAGTGATTATTTCAAATATATATTATTATTTTACACTGAGAAATCAAGACTCCAAGTATAGCATAGTGATTGCGGTATCATAAGGCTGTTTAAATTTCTATATACGACGCTTAAATGTAACTGTTCTTCACCATACACCTCCATAAGCTTAGTTATATCGCTCAGTCCTTGATGAATATGCTTTCATTTCCAGGGAGAAGAAGCTGATGAAGATGAAATATACAATGTGCTTTCCACTTTAAAGAGATTAACTTCTTTTCACAAGTATGTGATTTTACTTTGATCAGCTTTGTCAGGTGATGATGTATATTTTAGTCAATAAATATTGATACCAAGGAAGGACAGATCAGGAAAATGATTTGCTAATATGAAAGATTGATGAATGCTAGGCAACATCCATCAACACTAGAGCTTTGATACAGCAAAACATGTATATATGTTTAAGTCCAGGTGAGATCAGTGCCTTGTAACTGTTTTGGTTAGCAGTGTGATTTATTACAGAATTAGTTACACTATCTGATCCCCTATGGTAAATATAATTGTGCCAGTGTAAATGTGCCTTATACTGGTATACCTTACTTGAAGTCCCCTCCATGTCAGACAGTCCTTCACAACAAGGGAGCTCCCCATCTTCATGGCAACTGGAGGCAGTCCAGATCTTTGCTCTGAACCTTGATCTAGGACTGCCCCTCAAGAAGAACTCCACAAAATTCTGTCTCCATCTGGCACTCTCACCAGCCTCCAGGACACCCTGCTTAGCAGATCTTTCACAGGATTTTTTTAAAGTAAGTTTTACTAAATTTATCTCCATTTCTTCAAGATTTTAAGATATATTTTTGTCTTAAGTCTTTAAGATTGTTCTCATCACAACTGCCACACTAAAAAAAATAATCTTTGGCTTACTGAAAAGGGCTTGAAAGACACGCATGTATGTCGTCTTCCTCTTTATTCAGAAATAGCAAACCACAGGAACCCAGCTCCTGGCTCGTGTAGGTCAGATCAGTGCTGAGACCGTTGAATATATAGCATGCAAGCTCCCTTCACTGATATAAGGCACACTCAGTGGCATGAAATCAGGGGTGGGATTTTAAACCCCCTCCAGCCTCTTGGCTAAGCATGGGTCCCTGTCCCCACTGGTTGTATAGTAAGCAGTAGTTTCCCTGAAATCTCCTGAATCTTGGTGGGGAATATTCCAGTAGCCCTCCCTTTCCCCATGGAGGGAAAAAACCTGCTCCCAGCTAGCATGGTGGCAAGAACTATGCTATGCTGATAAGCGTCCCCCTTTTCAAAAAATGTCTTTCTTACAAAGCACAGCTGCTCTGAAAGATGCCAGTTCTTGCCACTTCTGTCATACCAGTGAGTTGTTTTCAGAGACTCTGTCTCACTCCTTTTCACATCCCAGACCTAGCAGCAGGGAGCATAGGGTGAAGTGATTTTAATCCTCTTCCCTAGGAGATGTACCTTCTTCCTCTTCCCTTCCAGCCTCCAAAGGTACCATGAGGGATCATAAAGTTGCTAAAGTTTTCCTCAAAGAAATGTACAAAGAACACACCTGCAAACTGGCTTTTCAGCGTGTCTGTAGTGCACTTCCCAATAATTCCTCTCAGGAACTGGTAAAAGGTACTGCTTGCAATCAACCATGAAGGAATAGCCTGAAGTCTTAAAGCTTTTCTAGGTCCCCTAAAAAGGAGACCCCTCTAAAATACAGTACTACAGACTTTCTGTAATTAAGCACAGCAAAGTTCTGGGGATCTAAGTTCACAGATGCTTTTGTGTCTACAAAATAAAACATAAAAGGGGGGAAAAGGTTAATTAAGTTGAAGAAAGAGCTATATTATTCTTCTTGAAGGTGTAATTAAGATGCATTGGGAATTCTCTATCAAGACCTCATTATAGCCAAGAATTAAAAGGTCTTCATTACTCTGCTTACTATTAAGCCTGCTGCAGTCTCCTTCACAAAGGAAAATGTATCGTCATATCAGATTGAGGGAGTATTCCTGCCAAAGCCATACAAAGGAAAATAAGATCATCCCTGGACTTCATTTGGACAGAACAACCTCTGCCAAAGAGGCTACAGTCTTTTATTATAAAGGAGGTCTATGTTCAACTGGGAGACAAAAAGAAAGGGAGGAAAAAAGAAAAACATGACATAAAATTTCTTTTGACCT